AACACGAATTTGACTGGCACTACCATAAACAACAACAATAACAAGACAACCCCCTCCCTTCTTGGATGACTAGAATTACTAGTGCGTCATGTTCATACCATTTATTATTATGGTTAGCATTACCCCTCCCCATTACTGCTTCAAATGTTGAATATAGATAGCGCTGTGCCCTCCTCACATGACTTTAAATTCTTCAATTGATTCGCTTTTCATCGCAATTGATCTGTAACGCGCTACAATTGTTTCTTTTTGAACATGCGCTCGAACAAGTGATTTGTAAGTCAGAGTTTTCCGACGATTTATTTTCAACCTTTCAGCACTGTGAATGGTCAGGAACTCAAGGAGTGTTTAGATTACTTGATGGCGATTTCTGAAGTTTGGAATATCATGTGTGAGAAGAGAAACTGAACAGTGTTAAATCAAAGCGATTACCACTGAATTATTTTGGGTGCGATCGATTTTTTGACGATCCATGCATAAATTTGAGATAATGATGAATGACATAATGGCTCGAATGATGACAGGTTTGCTCTTTGATGGAGTTGGCATTTATCATACGTACAACTCATGCATGACATATTGTCAGCGAAAATAGCCGTTATGAACTTATGCCATGCTGGCTGTTGCTTTGAGATAAAGTCGCTTGGTACACGTCAATGAATAATTGCGTCATATTTCGTGTTGAAAAGAGTTGAATTCGGATAATTTGAAAAGTTTCAATATCATCCAAATTTTCTTCCCCTCCCCCCCCCTTCAACTGAGTGACGCTAATCTGAATTCAACAAATTTTCAGTACTGATTCTTAGCCGTTAACAATCATCATTAAAACTAATCTGTTACGATGCTTTATTCATAATTGATTGCAACCTAAGTTTGTAAATAGAATATGGCATTTGTGGTTTTCTTCCTATGCATTTGAAAGTAACGTTATTTTGTATTTTGTTTTTTAACTTGATCATATTTTTTAACTCGATCATTTTAACTTGAAAACGAGGATCATATTTTGTCGATGCAAAATTTTTTAACTTGATAGCGGGCATCAAAGCGCATGTGAAATTTTTCGAAGCGAGACAATCACGCGCAATTCCATCGTTTCATTGTCTCATTTGAAAAGTCATATGCTAATGATATCTAAAGATTATTGATCACTGATAAAGAATTTCAAAAAAATCCACGCCACCACCTACTTCCATAGTGGTGTGTTGCTTGGAAGCATTTGCTATTTTCTTGAGCAGTAAGTAATAAATTCACGATAGGCAATTCATAACGACAATCGCCAAGTGCTGATGGAGAGTTGATTTTGTTTTTATCATTCATAAATGAATGAATGTGTTGATATTACAATCGATAACAAATGCACGGCTGTATGATCAAAATAGCGATGCGTTTACTTTTCATTATGTTCCCTATCGCTCGTGTTTATTCATCGTCTGATGATGTCGATGCTTTTTTCTAATTCAACAAGTAAATAAGCTGTGATTAACGAAAGTGGATGCTTGAATATGCAGTGAAATAGTGACCATAGCAAGAATGAAGATGATAATGAGAGCACTATGAATACTCCTGATTTCTGTGATAACTGAATTGGTATTAATTCTGTATATGTATATTTGAGGTCAGTTATATGAAACTGGATGAAATTGTTTGAAAGAAATTGAGCTCATAATTGTTATGCAAG